CCCCTTTCTTTTCCTGGTTTTAATCAGATTTTTGTCTGCTTACTAACATACCACCCTAAATTTTTGCATATGCTATCCTCATCTGAGGCCTAGCTAGTTCAGCTTCTTATTCAAGGCTACGCTCTATTTTATTGTTTAATTTACGATTTTTTCATCTTATTACATTAATGTTATTACACTAACTATGGTGCGGTTCTGGAAACGATTGAAATCAAGACACAAAATAGTTAATATGTAATGATACCTAATTGCTGATTGTCGGCAGGCGGTGTTAGGTCTGATGCTCGTTCTTCTTGCTGGCCGAATGGCGAGGGGACTGGTCCTGGGTGTCCTTCTTGAGAGCCGGGTGGTGGTAGGTTTGGTGCTCTGTCTCTCTCTGGTCGTACGGGTGGTGGTGAGTGTGRTGCTCGTTCTCCTTCTTGAAGACCGGGTGATGTGTCTTGTGGTGGGTCACCTAAAAGGATGAATGCACAGTTACTTGACATCAATCCAACGATATTCCTCTCACTGAAATATTCTTCTACATTTCTATCTTTTTGTACTCTAGTTTCAGGTCATAGTTTTTCAGTGAGAAAAAAAAAGGTCAAGAATACACGAATGCAGAATCGCAACACTCAGGGTACTGAATCATAAAAATACAAGATTATAATATGAAATAACCCATAAGAATAGAATATGTATATCTTTCGTTTTATTCGTTACCTTGACTTTTCTCAAATATGTCAATCTCGATTCTGTAGTTGCCGCCAGTTCTTTTTCTATAATACCCCACTAAAGTTTTGTTATCGTCCAGGAGAAGTGGTCCAGCGTTTTTCAGTTTCTCATAAATGCTTGTTTCACTAATGGTATAGATATTATTCCGTGATTGACCTTGGCTCATGTTGAAGGGAATGAACTGAAGTTGGCCATCGTCCATGCCTAATCCATAAAACCTCTTGCTGGTATCTAGAGCTTGATTAATTCTAACCTAAGTGTGTGTGAGTGTGTGTGCCTAATCCATAAAACCTCTTGCTGGTATCTAGAGCTTGATTAATTCTAACCTCCTTGCTGTAATTCTCCATAAACTTGCTTTCGTTTAGCTTTTGAGAATCACAGAACAAAAAGAAATGCTCATAAAATGAAACAACCAACGGGTTATTCACTGTACATGTTCTTGTGCTCTGTTCATCCACGCCAAGCTTCCTTGAAATCTTTTCATAGCTGATGACAGCTTCGGTCACAACTCCTCCAGAGTATCCAACACTTGCAGGACTATAGAAAACGTATTTTGAATTTCTCGGATTTAATCTATTCCTGTCGGCTGAATCACGTATGAATTCCTTGACGAAATATTGAAGATTGKCATCGTTTTTTATAAAGCATCCTGGGAATTTGATGTTTCTTGAAGATGCTTCCACATGTCCTTCGGGTCTTTCCGGAATTGTCAGGTTAACAGTGGCTGTTCCTGCARTACGCCAATGCACCGTAGGCATCGTTGCTAACTGAAAATGAGCTGAATAAAAAGAGGTAAGAAATATAAGAAATGAAATCCAAATCTCAAATATATTATTGCGGTCCTGTCTCATTTACTCAAGTTAACATCGACGTCAAAGACAGTGATTAAGAGCGGACGTCCCTCCTCTTTTTCTTTCTTTCTTATCCTTATTCTAATCACAAGTGATATATTCTCTAAATCGAACATAGATGTGAATTGCTTCAAGGGAGACTGAGAGTTGTCGTTTCCCTAGCATGGTTTGCTGGCCGTAACAGCAATAATCTGGGAACAACTGAAAGAGATAAAAGCCACAGAACAGCGAGATTYAATTCTAAACCAGTTAATAGGATAGTTTTGATAATAGATAGCATTTCTAGGAAAATTCCTAACATTAAATTAGAATAGCAGGGGCGCGGATCCAGGAATTTGTTATGGGTGTCCCWCATGAAAAAAATTATATAGAGATATGTATTGCTTCAAAAAAGAGTAATAGACCCTTTTCAAGTTCCAAATTACCGCTGTGTTCCCTGATTACAGACTCATTTACTCAGGCTTAGCCTCGTATCAGTGTCTAAATATTCACAAATACCAACGGTAAAGTAAAGAATGCAAAACTTCAACAGTACGAACATTTTGAAACTTGACGGACCTTGAGTGGAACACGTGAATATCCTACACAAAATCGAGGCTAAGACTGAGTAAATGAGTCTGTAATCAAGAAACACAGCGGTAAAAGGGTCTATTGCGGYATTTGGGGGCTGTCCGGTGCCCTGCAGGACCGCYCCCTGTGCTTTCAAACATTATTTGACATCAAAWTGAATGGAACCAAAAACATGACTTCGGCGATACTTTGAACTTATTAAAAGGAGTTCAGTCTTATGATGCTTTAACTTCAAGGTTAAAGTCAATCCCCTTCCCAGACCCATTATTTCTTACTGCGCATGCTCGACGAAACAAATAGGCTCTGGAAAACTCCAGTATATTCCTCGTGATTGGTTTTAAGAAAACGAAGGAAGATACCGGAAGTAAAAATTACACCCCGGAGGACCCGTTGAAGCTGAAGACAATTAGACAGAGGATCAGCCAACCCCTGTTCGATATTAATGGCTCGAACCGCCGACAAATAAACCTTCATGCTGTTATGTTGAACGAACCTGCTAAATGGGTAACGAACAAACAAAATGTCCACTCATCAGCCCGACAAGGRGAGCCAGACTGGTGCAGCTTTCCTAACTGTTGGCAGAATTCAACAAATTTCCGTTGGCCCGAGAGATAGATAAAAAACAGCAATCGAGCGCAACGTTTTGATCCGCGACGATCAACAAACTTAGCATGCCATGTGCTATGAAGCCCCTGAAGGCGCCCCCGCAGCAACCGAAGACCGTTGGCCAGCGTGCCTTGACTATAACTTTGCAAATTTCCTTTAGCCCCATAAAACGAAGGAAGACACCGGAAATAAAAATTACTTCACTGCAAAATGGTTTTTCCGACTCAAATATTGTATATATAACAACAACTTGTATTTVGTGATTCAATTTCAAATCTACTTTGATAGTGAAATATATAATTTACAATGCAGTTTAATTTGAATGTACATATTTAAGTCAAAACTCAAGAAACAAATTCAAAAAACACTCAGATAGTTCAATAACTTTGTACCGCTGTGTATTACAGAATCAGGCGATAAAGATATTGTAAGATTAAGAAGTATCGACAAAAAAAGGAAGCAAGCGAGTTACGAGTGTTTCTGTAATCATACACGAGTGGCAAGCGATACTCCAGTTTCGAGTTCTCTGTCGCTAACTGCAAAAATAGCATAACTCTCATATATTCTATTATATGTAGTATTATATTTTGTGAAATAAACTTGAACTTGAACGCCACACAAAATACCAACTGAATAMGGCAAATTTCTCGATTTTCAATACAAAATTGGTTCGTTTATAAGCGACGTACAAATAAATATGATTTAAAAAATTCACTTTCAGTTAGTATCCTTACCTCTTAGTATCCTTACTTCTCGCAATATTTTCAAATTCCTTGGTTACCAAGAACGAAGCAACCATTCTGGTCTTCCATACACCTAAAAAATATACGAATCTCGTCAATTCAAAATTAATTGCCAAATTGAAGGTTTAAAACTATCTTAATCTTACATGTCCTTTAGAATTTCGAGTTGTTTTTTATGTAGTTTACCTCAATTTTTCAAATCCCACGATTCATTCCACACACATTCGCTGGTAAACTTCACTTCCGCGTTTATTTATGTCGTCTGTCGCTTCGAAGCTTGTTTTCTGTATCAGACCAACAAAAATGCATCAGCCATTTATAAAAGAAACTGTTAAAGATGAAACTTGTAGACTAGATTTACTCCATGTCCGATAGCACTGCACGAATGATTCGTTTCTTTATACTGCTTCCAAAACAAAGCCAAGTCAGTCAGCTATCTCTACAACTTCGAATCTTGAGATTGGTACAAAGAAACTTGACTTAATACACCATATCTTGTTCATGTGCGGGCATAGTTAGTTTATTGGAACTTGAACTTATGCTTATTTATTGGTAGAAGAGGGAAATTAGACTTTATCCTACACGAAAACGAAAGCGAAACACATTGATGCAAGAACTAGACAATGAAATAAAGTCTAGCGCTCGCTATAAAACTACAATAACTTTCTGGAACCCTCTAAATCCTTACCTTTATCAAGTACTCTACTCACTAACTATGCCTTCAGTTAGCCTTGAATCTTATAGCGACACCAATTTCTCTAAGTTCTCCAAATTGTCTCTAGTTTCTTCGACAATCTCAGTCTTGAATATATAATAGTTCACAGTCTGGTTGGTTTGGGGCTGTGCCCTTTAGGTAACACCCAGGTCATTTTCAACCAATAGAATCGTTGTATGCGAGCTATGACGTAAGTCTAAGCCAATCANTAGGTCTGGGATAGGATCAGGGTTTTGAGGTCCTGGCGGCACACCCCTACCCAAGTTGGGGTGGTAGTACCCCCGCCCCCGGGACTGAGTCTCAATGAATATGAATAATAAACCAATCAAACAGGTGCAAAAGATTAAATACTTTATCTTGGTATCTGTCATGACTCGAATATCTTTTGGAAACCACACATTTGTGAAGTCTCTATGAAAATCAATAGAGCATTGGTATTCTCTCCAAACTTAGACATTAAGTAAATCTCAAATATCTTCTTCACTGGCAACTTTACTATTCTTTTATACTATGTCCATATCTATCGGGATCCTCATCTAGGGCAGTTAACTTATAGATCTATAAATGTTCTTTAGATCGCAACCAGGCTGGTTCAGTTGGTCCCGGCCCGGACCAGTATTCAGGGTCTTAAAATAACTGAGGAGAAGGTGCTGCCTTCGTAAAAACTACTTTACAAATGATTTCTGAATGGGTTGATCGTGGAATGCATTAGTATTTGGTTTTTACGGCGTTGAAAATTGGTGTAGTGCAATGTACCTGTGTCCTAATTAATGTGCAGCACCAGCTTGTGGGCAAAATCTGCAAATAAATCCCAAATGACATTTTCTGCATTCGATGCTAATTAAATCATATCCAGTTTTCAGTCACTGCTCCAAATTATTCAGCTTCCAGATTTTGTTCACCTTCATACTGCAGCGTTAATGTATGATGCAGATTTTCATTACAATTCTCTACCTGCCATTTTTAAAATTTGTTTAAACCCATTTCTGATGTAAATTCTTTCTACGATACAATACAGAGTCTCTTCCAAATGATCTCTTTGTCTCCTTCATGCGAGAACTAGCTATTATCTTCTAAAAATTCCACTCACTTGAAATTTCAGGAGCAATAAGTACAATGCCCAAACTAATCATAATGTCGCACAGAAAAAAATTTCCCGTCGATTTGGTTTTTTATGGCGCCGTGAATAGACACAATATGATATGTAATAAAAGCGAAAAATGCTTACTTTTCTAATTTTGTATTTAATTGCAATCAGGCCAACCGATTGATCTCGATTTCTCATCATCACTGGTTACTACGTTAATAAGCGAAAATATCGTAAAAATAGTTTGTCAAAGACCGAAATTAATGCATTTTGTGGATATCACGGGACTCCGTTGACATTTCATAGATTCACGATCCAAAAATTTTAAAACTCGAATAATTTTAAAACTGAACAATGAAAATCTCTGAAACTTTCTGACCTTGAATACTACCATAGTATGTTTCAGATAGTGAACTCCGTTTCTCCGGGTCTGGTCAGATTACGCCAAAAAATATATTAAAAAAATAATCACATGACGTCACTGTGCCTTCAGGGCGTGTCCGATGGTCATGAAATACACGCGATTTAAAACTTCCATCTATCCCTACACTTAATATATAAACTCATATTTGGCAAGGTATATCTGGTGCCGCGCAGTTTGCAATACAAGTAGAGGAGTCGTGCTTCAAAATTATTGTATCGAGCCACCTTATTGAAATCGATAATAATATTAAAAAAACGCCTCTCTAAGAAGAAATTTATTGAAAAACGTAAGACAAACTATGTAATGAATTAATCGTTTAACTAAGATATATTTTTGCTATTATCAATCAGATCAACTTTAATACACAGTTATTTCTCTTCTTTTTCCCCTTTCTTTTCCTGGTTTTAATCAGATTTTTGTCTGCCTACTACCTGACCACGCTAAATTTTCGCATGTGCTATCCTGATCTGAGGCCTAGCCAGTTTAGCTTCTTATTCAAGGCCACGCTCTATTTTATTTGTTAATTTACGATTTTTTCATCTTATTGCATTAATGTTATTACACTAACTATGGTGCGATTGAAATCAAGACACAAAATAATTATTATGTAATGATACCTAATTGCTGATTGTCGGCAGGCGGTGTTAGGTCTGATGCTCGTTCTTCTTGCTGGCCGAATGGCGAGGGGACTGGTCCTGGGTGTCCTTCTTGAGAGCCGGGTGGTGGTAGGTTTGGTGCTCTGTCTCTCTCTGGTCGTACGGGTGGTGGTGAGTGTGGTGCTCGTTCTCCTTCTTGAAGACCGGGTGATGTGTCTTGTGGTGGGTCACCTAAAAGGATGAATGTACAGTTACTTGACATCAATCCAACGATATTCCTCTCACTGAAATATTCTTCTACATTTCTATCTTTTTGAACTCTAGTTTCAGGTATAGTTTTTCAGTGAGAAAAAAAAAGGTCAAGAATACACGAATGCAGAATCGCAACACTCAGGGTACTGAATCGTAAAAATACAAGATTATAATATGAAATAACCCATAAGAATAGAATATGTATATCTTTCGTTTTATTCGTTACCTTGACTTTTCTCAAATATGTCAATCTCGATTCTGTAGTTGCCGCCAGTTCTTTTTCTGTAATACCCCACTAAAGTTTTTTTATCGTCCAGGAGAAGTGGTCCAGCGTTTTTCAGTTTCTCATAAATGCTTGTRTCACTAATTGTATAGATATTATTCCGTGATTGACCTTGGCTCATGTT